CATAACACAAACAGGAGCTCCCATTTTATAGATTATTATGTCATTTATAATGCAAAACTGAATAATAGGTATATAATTAATTACTAGTATAGGAGTTTTGGAGATTAAGTTTTTGATTGAGATCATGAACCAACTGATGTTAGACCATCACAATTGAAAACCTGGAAGCACTGGACGGCCGTTTCGTCCTATTGTGGGACTCCTCAGCAGTGCGCATAATTAATTATCCATTACAAGGACGGTAAAACACATATCATATATAATGGTAAGTGACTGTGGATTAGTCTTCAGAGTTTCGTCTTTTATACTCATCCTGTTGTATCTAATGCTCATCTCCAGTGTTTAAGTATCGCTCAAAATGTTCTATTTCTTTTTTCTCTCTGTAAATAAAGATTGCTTTTGGCTGTTAGATGCATTACTTCAATTCTCAACCAGTAGTATGGGACGAATCCCACGAATTTTAATTGAACAAATGTTTACACCAAATACCGATGTCTGGTTTGATTCTTCACTGACAGCACCTTCACGTGCAAAAAGTTTGTTCAATCCATCTTTTTTAATTTTTGTTTTTTTTTCATATTTGAAAGCAACTGACTAAACGTTTTCGTGTAGGTTGGTTAGCTACTAAAACATCTTTGTAAGTAGTTTGGATGTGATCGAATTTTTTGTTGCTTAAATTTTCTATACTGTTTGACATACTGCTGTATCGCTCTAAATGCTGGTTGGATTAGAGGAACACCTTAATGCAGTCACACTAGTATAGTCGATACTAGGGATTCACCCGTAGACTTTGATTCACTGTTCTTGGTATAATACCTTGTCAACTGACCTATCTCATGTGACATAACAAGAAAAGAACAATTATTTCAGCCAAAATAACATGATTTTGTGAACTTCATTATGTAAACCTGAAAATCACCGAATCGTTCTCATTAGTAATGATGAATATATCTTCATTGTAATCACGTTTTAATTTGATCGGTGTTTATGAACTTCTCTGTTTTGATTTTATTTTACAAGATTCTCAATTAAATCTGTATAGTAATGTGATTAAAAAGGAATGGGATTCATCTACGTTGAATACTAGTTATCTACCACTTGAAGCTTATTATTCTATTAAATCATGTTATATCACTCCAACAGCTTCCATATCCATAGATAAAGATGAACCAAATGAGTAAGTTTGAATTATCATTGTTGTTTGTTTTTAAAGGTTAGATGGATTTAACAACTACATCGAGTACTATCAACACACTTACATAATGGGTTTTATAGCAATAAATACTCGAACATTATTATTATTATTATTGGCTTTATTCAATATTATTTTTTGGCAATATAGACTTCTAAGCGCAAAGTATTTCAACAAGCTTCCTCTTATTTGGTTTTCGAACCTGACGATGAATACTGAGTGATATGCAGTTAGATGTTAGCAGTTCAGCAATCGACATCTGAATGATGTTCACTATTTTTAATGCATATTGCCAACCACCACAATATCTCTGATTGTTCTGTTTTGTAACTTGTTCAGCGAAATGTAGTATGCTTCTCATAAACGCCACTTATTTAAATATATCTAAATGAAGGGAAGAGGTAGCGCAGATTTATTCAAGCAGGCCGCCTACAATCACTTTTACTGTATTCTCAAATAATGGAAGTATTTGCAAGTTATTCATTAATTGTATTCTGTCCTTTGGAATAGAATATGGTAGGAGAGAATTTCAGGCTGTTTATTGTATTAACTCTATCTCAGATATGATCTCTAGTCCCCTTAAACTTAAATTAAATAAAATAAATATCATGGTCAGTCATTTCATTTAGTTTCTTCGACAATTTGGAATGATTTCGAATATATATTTCAATAAACTGACAAAATATCTGACCATATCATGAATGTTTGTAATTCCTAGCAGCATAAATTCTGTTACTCTTGAAATAAGGCAACGATATTGACAAGCACCTTTCATCAATAAGTTCTGCTATTCGAACTTTCTAAGATTATTTTGACTAAACCAATTGGACTTTATATGAGATTTTGTAATTTTCTATGGTTGATATTGTCTCATGACATCTATTTGCAGATTTTATTGTTTAGTATATGTAACTAGCAGTGAAATACAAGAAGCAAGATTCATTCCATTTAGGACTCGTCGACTCTCGTATGTATCTGCATCGCAGTTTTCATGTTCTCATTGAGACTTAAATATCAACCATGAAAAATTACAAACGCTTAATAACCATTTCTTCATACCGCTTTGAACAAGTCATTAGCTTAAAGGATAACATATTTCCTGATTACAACGATAGCTACTTTGTTGCAGTCTAAGTGTGAACATTTATATACACTGGAATTCATGCGCATCAATCCAATAAGCCTCCAAATCAGACGAAATTTGCTTCTCGCATCGTATTCCACCGATAGTCCTATCACTATATCTACTGAACCAGATAGATCAAAGTGGGTCCATTGAAGATTCACTATCATTAGAACTGTGAATTTGTTTATTGTAATATATTTCACTTGGCACAACTTCATCACTGCAGTTATAATTTTGAATGTTCAATGTTTAAATAAATAGTAATTTTTTTGTGAAACTTTCCAGATCATTCTATCATCCACAGCGCTTATTGCTCTATCCAGTAGAACTATATAATCCATCGGAAAAATTATACAGTTCTCATTATTGTCATTCATTTACTTCAATTCTATCTTCTGATAAGAATTCATTCTTAATTAACAAACCGAAATTATTATTACAATCTATTAGTGACTTTATACAACTTGATTTGTATATATCTTATAACGTAAATTTTATATGCATCATTATACTACTTATAGTAGTTTGCTATTTTTGTAAATATTGTATCATGTACTTCAGTAACAGCGTATTATATGTAACAGGATGGATTCTCTGTATGATTCGATATATGTTTGTGCGTATTCTATTTGGTTTGTATAATTTATGGCGTGTACATATCAGTGATTTTTCAAAAAAGGTATTCACCAAAGTATATACTACTAATAATTCTACTAGCATTAGTAGTACTACTGCTGAAATATCACGATTGTCACCTTCAATAGTTCAGAAAATTAGTCAACAGAACAGATCTAATATACATATATGTGTACATAGATGACAAATGATTGGTTGGTGTGTGAATTGCATATTTCTGTATTGATCGATTACAGTTTTGTGTAGGTCCAGTGGTTCAATGTTCCAATAATTAACTTCATCCACGTATTGTATTTTATTTCAGTTCATTCGTGTATCTCTTTTTCTCTTTCATATTTTCAGCTGTTTTGTAAATAGAAATGTATTTGGTACAAATTGATACTTGTTTTTTCATACTATTACGATATATCGTAACATTCAATATTCCACTGAGAGTAAAAATATTTCTTTGCAAGTATTATGCATTTGTTCATTAATCAGTTATCATCAGTACAGAATATGGGAAATATTCGAAATTATTTTGATACGATGATCTGTTGTTGATTGTGTAGGTCTGAGTTTCAGATTCACTGGAATAACGCTATCAAATTTGTTGAAAGTAAGAAAGCCTTTTTGGATTAGAAGAACGTGTTAATATACGGGTTACTCAATAGGATCAGTCTTATTTGTATTAATGATGTTATTGAGTGAGAAGTTAAAGCTTTAAAAGAAATGCTAAATTATATAAATCAACCGATAGGTAGCAGTATTTTGTGACCCATTAAATTTCGGCAACCAGAAGATTTACGTTTATCACCCTAACATTCAGAGGTAAGTTTAATAATCTTTAGTTGAAATGAAGACTCTAATTAGTGTTGAGAAGGACATTTCACGTAGTGCAGCGCACGATTACTAGAAGGTCATAGTCTTAATTTAATCAAAAACAAACAACGAGTGTACGATTTAATTTGTCCTACAAATATTCTGCTGAATCTGTATACGAGATACTGGCTACCCCAGAGTCTGTTTGAAAGCTATAGAGTCAGAACAGGCACAACTCGGCTTTAAACATTATCTGCTTCTAAACACAAACAAACACCTATAAATAGGGAGGAGCAATCATGATCTGCAAGTAATGATGATTGAACAGTGTCTACAAAACGAAAAAATTCCAGTGATTAAATAATAGGATAAGATGGATAAATATCTCCTTCCAATAACAAATATTTAGTTAAGTCGGATCGATGGGTTTATTTTCATAGTTGAATTCATGAGTCGATGTAAGCTAGACCACCACTGAAACTCTGGGAGCTCGGTACAGCCGTTCCGTCCTAGTATGGGACTCCTCAGCGGTGCGCTTACACGATACTGCACGCGGGATTCCAACAATCTAGTCTACTCAGCCGTGATCTAACGGTGTTCATGTCCAGTATTTTATGGATTACTCGAAGTTCATGTCTTCACATTCTGTTGATTGAGCTTCACTTCTGGATATTCTTCAAAAATATCGGTAGTATAGGCACATGTTCACTTATTCTCTCTCACAAAAACACTATTCTCACTCTCTTCATACACTACTTCAAGGATTTAAAATCCACTGTTACAGACACTTTCTAACTGTTTTCGCGCCTATTTCGTTTTGTGCGGTTCATTGTTTGGAACTATCTATTTTAACTGATCCACCTACTTGTTTTCTCGAACTACTAAAATCTACACCCGACATTTAAATATCTGTACTTCTTCCTGGATAATCACTTGGTGCGTCGATTTCATCTTATTCTCCAATTCGAATGACAGATCTTTTGATAGATATGGTTTCAGCAGCTAAAACAGTAAATTGACAATATGTGAAACGGAATGCCAGTGTATTATGACATGTAGTGTGGATACTGTGACTAACACTATGCATCCATTCATACGTATCGTTGTATGAAGTTCAAATAACTGCTAAAAATAAGTAAGATTATATCATGTTGATTTTGGAATTAAGGTTCACATGTATTTGGAATACAAAATACTTGACGAGTTTGATATAATTTTTATTTAACAGTTTTTTTACATCTAAACTTATTGATCAAAGGAGGTAATGGAATTCGCGAGTGCATCTAAAATATAATGAAGTAAGAATATATTATATTTAAATTATTCATGCCTATTGAGAGTGAAGTCATACTCAGCAAAGAATGAATTAACAAAGGTTGCTTTTGTACATAGAAGATCTGTGCAGTAATTCATACTGGAAATATGGTTGTTGGTCCATATTGTTCATCAGTCAACGCGTTAGTTTACCAAGGAAACTGTGAGTGAAAATGAAGTTTTAAATTCTAAATACTTGATGCTTTGTTCATGTATCTGGAGCTACCGTTGAAATTATTTTGATGAAACATTAGTTCTTAGTATAATAGTAATCTGTTGAATAATGCCATACACAATCCTTCATTTTCCATTACACCTAACTTCATTCTTGAGATTTCTTTCAAGAATATATATATAAATTGAATGTATTCAGAACAAATTGAGTTTTTGGACGCTTTGTGACTCAAAGTAAGCCAATTCTTCATAGAATAAAAAACCTATGTTGGTTAACCCATTTTTAAATTCTAGAAATGAATAATGCTAGCCACGTTCTTAAAATGCTTGTGACTTAATATTGTATCAAAGTAATACGCACACGATGCTCATGTGCCAATAAGAAACTGGTCAGTTGCAGTCCAAAACGTCAACGATATATTTCAAAAGGACAATACGAAATGAATTGAAACCTCATTGCATTGAACAAGTTAGTGACTACCTAGACTCGGTAGATTAGTGGGTAACGCAATGGCGTTTGAAGCCAGTCCCGGAGAGAACGTCAACTACGAGATGCAGTTAGATCCGGATGACAAGTCTCAAGTAGGATGAAACGTGCAACCAAGAGTCCACTGTGTAGCCACCATCCACTTATACACATCTCTTCACATATGGTTGTCTACAACTGATGAGAATCTACGAAATATAATATATTCATATCATTCCACCTCAATGATTTTTCTGACTTTATTCAAATTCATATCAGCTACCGATTGCATGAAATTTGTAATTACTGTCTATTAATAATACTGAACACTAGAAATGTTTCGAACAATTAAATTTACTTATTAAATTGAGTTATTCATGCTCTTACGCTACCAAACTATTCTTGTCCTTGGATTAATTTCGATTTTTAAATCGATGATCTAGAGAATGATATAAATATACATAGGTAATCAGCAGGATTATATACTTGCAGACAAATCTTAAGATAAGATATTGATAAGACTATTGTTAACACCTAACAACATATAAAGCTACATGAATTGACGAAGCCTATGACCATCAGTGAAGTGATCTGGCAGTATCATATTCGAACTGTGGAAGAATCAGAGCCAGTCGTATAGAAAAGTATGGAGTTCTGAGTAGTTCACATCAAAAACAAAATTGCTTTAAGAAATAAACGCAAATCCATGCAATAAATGTGCAGCAGGGGTAATGTTAAGCATCACCTCTATTCAAATGTCACAAGGCAACTGAAGCGCTCACAAATATGGAGAGTCATCTTTCTTTGTTTGATGGCTGATACCTTAGTTACTGAGGTGGAGGTGTAGTTTCTAGCACTATATCAAGCCCATATGTCATTCTAGATTCCGGACAGAACAGTTTGTTCATTTTTCTTGAGTCACATTTTGACCTCAATCATTCGCATGTTAACACTTCAACTGCTTTTAATGAGCGTATGTGTGTACATACGCTCATCCCTTTTCATTACCACATTAGTTTATATTTATCCGGTTATAAATATTCAGTCACGTTTTATCAGAACCAGATGACTTCCTCTCTCTGCTTTCCTACTTCTTACTCTGCATGTCTGTCTGGATAAACTAGTGCTTGAAATACGTTCATCCAATGAAATCTATATTCGGCCTCTTGTTACAACCTTTACACAAACGGGGTTAATCTAGGTAATATACGGAGTCAAATTTTTGATTTATGTTCATGGCAGATTTAAACGTTCATCCAAATTAGAGTCAGATCAATAGGTCATTAAACAGCTACCTCGATTATTATGGTTTTTCTATTTACTCTTGAGGGCCTATAATTGGAAGATTATGGAAATCTGTGTCAACGTGATCAGTTGGAGGGAGGTTCAAATGTACTCTATTGTGTTCAATCTGTTTTGTCAAATGAAACGGAATCTGAAATATTGAGTGAAAATTTGACAACGTATGTGGATAGATATTTGAAACATACTATTGGAACACATGTAAGTGCCGTGTCAATTACTAAACAGATACATCTTATCGACGATTGTATCAACAAACGTATGCATTCTCCCTCTTTTAAATGTTTAACACTCCGGAATCAGTGTTGATTTTCTCTCATAATCTCGTTAGAGGTGCACATGATATCTGTGTTATCATATCATCCAACGTCAATATATTGGAATGTAAAAAAACTTACAAACATGAAATTAATCTCATCACATTCGCCTCTACAATCAACATTGATGTCAAAAATTCAAATGAATTCAAATATACGATCTGAATATTATACTAGGATTTCGTGCAATCGCTTGTCTATTAGTTACTGCGTATCTCAACGGTTAAGCCAATGTCGTATTCTAAATTATATTCACTGGTTCATAAGGTCTATCCCACGACTTTACGGTAAAAGTTCAAAGATGTGCAGCAAGAGTGAATTCAACATCTGCTGAAAAAGCTTATCGTGATCAGCTCAGTAGGTCTATATATATATATATATATATATATATATATATATATATATATATATATATATATATATATATATATATATATATATATCATTTCGATATCTCTAAGATGCTGGGAATAACCTGCAGTGGTCAATCACATTAATAACTAATAATCTAGAATGTTTTCATATAAGAAATTAACGAAATAAATTAGATTACCATATTTGTCAGAAAGTTGAAATCCTGGAGCATTCTCAATCACTAGAAAGAAACAAAATTCCATGACAACACTCAGAAAACCTATATTACATCATAAGCCAACGGATCGATTCTTCAATCCAACTAGATCTGACAACATATGATATGACGTGTCATCGACAATCTTCATTTACGATTTCCCACTTCACACGGAATTGTGCTATTTCAAGCAGTCATGGCTAACCTGCTACTTGGTTTCAGAGAGGACATGACGACACACATCAATTTTACACATGCTATACACGACCATTGATTCGCTCACAAATATTGTAAGCCATCTATCAATGTTCGGTGTCAAGTAATTAGGACACTGATGAATGTTGACAGTATTTACAATATGAAAGTTCGTCTGATTTCCTTAAAAGGTTCTTGAGTGGAATGTTGTGAGAGTCGTTGTCTATGTGCTCACTCTAAAGTTGTTCCATGTGTACACGTATATGTAAGGCTGTCATATCCACTGTAATGGAATTTCTATTCATAAGTGAAGATGTGACAGAGCATGTAAATCGGTATTTAAAGTGAATTCCTGAAACATATATGGACGCCGCATTGTCTCCATCACAATCGTAGTCGTGTAATTACAAGTGATATTCAAGTCATTATGCAATCAGTTATCAGAAAAAAGTAAACACCATATAATCGAGACATTCGGTCAAAATTCGCTTACCGGAAGAAATATCCACTGTATCACCTGGAACATTGTCATCTACAAATGTCGGAACAAACAACACTCAGTTCGTGTTCATTGTTGTTATCGCGTGTTTACGTCGAAAGCATTCACTTTACAATCATTTCTGTAGTTAAGTAGCAGACAACTGACACATAATTACAATTCAATGCATCGAGAAAAAAACTTAAAAATCGGTGGATTTGTCCGGTTCGTAACCAAATTTGTGGTTATTCATGAAACATTTGAACTCTCATAACTTGCTGATCGTGACCAATTTCTCAACAGCATCTCCACACATTATATCAATAAGCGTAGTCTACATTTGTCGGAGAAAGAAACGAAAATGGTGAGAGATTTGCAAACCTATGTGTCTTCAATGAACTGGTCAGGGGCAGCACCATATTCCCACATAAACGCATTCACAAAGCCGCATGGACTTCACCGAATCACACTACACAAAACCAAATCGACCATATCTGCTTCAACAAAAAGTTCAGTAGGACGATGGAAGACGTGAGAACCAAGAGAGGAGCTGATATAACATCAGACCATCACTTGCTAGTCGCCAAGATGAAATTAAAACTCAAGAAGATCTGGACAACGGGGCGGACAACATTACAAAAGTTCAATATGGCCTTTCTTCAGGATATTGACAAACTCGAAAAATTCAAGATAGTCCACAGCAATAAGTTCTAGGCCTTTCATTATCTACTCGGTGGAGAAGGAACTACTATAGAGAGCAACTGGAAGGCTGTCATAGAGGCAATCACTTCAAGATGTCGTGAGGCTCTATACCACAAGAAGCACCTTCACAAGTAATAGATCACTGTTGTTACACTGGATAAGATTCAAGAAAGGAGGATCAAGAAGGCAGCAATCAGTACAAGCCGAACAAGAGCAGAAAAAGCCAAGACACAAGTTGAATACACAGAAGTAAACAAGCAAGTGAAAGAAAAAGCATTAGACCTGACAAATGTAAATATGTGGAAGATTAAGAAACGACGGCGGAAAAGTCTGCAAGAGAAGGAAACGTGAGAGAACTATATGACACGACAGAGAAACTCTCTGGAAAAAGCCGCAAACCAGAACGACCAGTGAAAATCAAGGAAGGCAAGGTAATCAACTACATTGAAGAGCAACGAAACAAGTGGGTAGAACACTTCAATGAACTCTTGAGACGACCAGCTCCACCGAACCCACACAACATCGAAGGAGCACCCACGGACCTCCCAATCGATGTTGGCCCACCAACAATTGAAGAAATCAGCTTGGCCATCAGACAAATCAAGGGTGGCAAAGCAACAGGACCAGACAACATTCCAGCAGAGGCAATAAAAGCAAACGTCGCGGCAACTGCAAGGATACTCCACATTCTCTTCAATAAGATTTGGGATGAGAAACAAGTACCAAAAGACTGGAAAGAAGGACTTCTGATCAAAATACACTCTTCTTTCAAAACCGGGAAATGTCTTCAACAGAGTGTTAAAAAGGATGAAGGACTGCGTAGACGCCCAACTTCGTGACCAACTGGCAGGATTCCGTAAGGATAGATCGTGTACAGACCAAATCGCAACTCTACGGATTACTGTGGAACAATCAATTGAATAGAATTCATCACTCTACATCAACTTCATTGACTACGAAAAGGCATTTGAAAGCGTGGACAGAACAACACTATGGAAACTTCTTCGACACTACGGCGTGCCTCAGAAGATAGTCAATATCATACAGAACTCATATGATGGATTAAACTGCGAAATCGTGCATGGAGGATAGTTGACAAAGTCGTTCTAAATGAAGACCGATATCAGGCAAGGTTGTTTATTCTCACCTTTTCTCTTTCTCCTGGTGATCGACTGGATCATGAAGATGTCAACATCTGAAGGAAAGCACGGGGTACAATGAACATCTAGGATGCAGTTGGACGATCTGGACTTCGTAGATGATCTGGCCCTTCTATCCCAAACACAACAACAAATGCAGGAGAAGAGGAACAGTGTAGCAGCAGCTTCAGCAACAGTAGGTCTCATTATACACAAAGGGAAAAGCAAGATTCTCCGATACAACACAGCATGCACCAATCCAATCACAACTGACGGAGAAGATTTGGAAGATGTAAAAACCTTTACATATTTGGGCAGCATCATTGATGAACATGGTGGATCTGATGCAGATGTGAAGGCGTGGATCGGCAAAGCAAGAGCAGCATATTTACAACTGAAGAACATCTGGAAATAAAAACAGCTGTCAACCAACTACAAGGTCAATTTTCATTACAAATATCAACACAGTTCTACTGTATGGGGTGGAAACCTGAAGAACTACGAAAGCCATCATCCAGAAGATACAGGTGTTTATTAATAGTTGTCTACACAAATAACTTCTGATCCGTTGGCCGGACACTTTCAGAAACAACCGATTGTGGGAGAGAACAGACCAGATTGTGGAGGAGAAAGAAATCAGAAAAAATCAATCTAAGTCGATGGGACACACATTGAGGAAAGCACCCAACTACGTCACAAGACAAGCACTCACATGGAACCCTCAAGGCCAACGGCAAAGAGGAAGACCAAAGAACACATTAGGTCCAGAAATAGAGACAGATATGAGAAAAATGAACAAACATTGCATAGAACTAGAAAAGAAGGCCTAGGACAGAGTGGGCTGGAGAATGCTGGTCGACGGCCTATACTTGTAGTTTATTTTAATCTCATATAGCATGATGTGTTGCTTCATTAACCTCATTTCTCATTTTATGTCTGATGTTTCTTAAGTCACGATACATCTCTCCATAGATTGAAGGCATTTATATAGCTGATTACTGATGTCTTTTAGTTCATGCATACATATATGCGTGTGTGCATTTGTTGTAACTGTATTTCGTATGTTGAGTTCTAGTGAGGCGATGTTCACGAATTCTCGTCACTTTCTTCTCGCATATTCAATGCACATGTGTATCTGCTTACGACTGAACGTTTAGATAGATAGATCGATTTGTGCGTGTCGATTCTCTTCATACAAAGTTGGTCAAATAAACCATCATTACAGTAATAGGGAGAATTTCAGCTTACGATTCTCGATGTTTTCATTTTCATCAGGATGATTGTCGAAGGCTATAAAATAATAAATAGAAACACGTTAGCTTTGAGTCAAGTTGAGCTCGTTGAAATCAAATAAAAGTATTGTCATAACTTACACATCTGGCCAAATGCTGAATTCACGTCATCTTCATTAACAACTAGATAATTGATAAACGTAGACCTGTTAGAACTTTTCGAATGTGAATAAGATTTATTCACTTATTTTCTGCATATCGATAATTAGTAGCAAATCTCATTTGACACTCGTCATCCGGTAGTTTAAATAGTCAACCGATTTTGTTCGAGCAACCATTGGAGACCACTGAGCACAACACAGAGGCTTTGTTCTAGTAAGAGACTACTGAGAAGTGCACGCTTTTGACTCCAACGCGGATCCCACACGCCAATATCACGTCGCTTATTGAGCTTATCAAGCATTCAACACTATCCAGTCTCAAATTGACTGATAAATTAATATTTGTCCTCAATAATAACGTGTGAGAGAAAGGAGAGTGTGTACATGTGCCATGTATAATTTTACGTCTTCAATCAATTCAGCCTTAATTACAGACAAAATAAAAAGGAAATGAAATCCAACTTACATTGACTTGAGTTGCGCAAGCAATGTTGAAAATGAAAGTGAACTAACATTTGAGAGAAAGAAATTCATCAGATTCGTCGTATTGTCAATGATGTCATTCACACAATAAAATTAGACTTACAAAATGTATATATGACTGTACACATTTTTTGTATATGAACGTCTAAATCAATTAAAGACAAACAGTGATGGCAATTTCAAAAATGTGAATAGGAACAAAATGCATGTTCGTTTCAAATTGATTTACTGAGATGAATTTTATCAGAATGCAGTTATTGAAATGAAACATATTTAGCATAGATTGATTTTATGTATCTACCAGCTAGAACGAATGCGTATACTATGTTCATTTGATCAAGAATCATAGGCCGTTATAATAAAATTATGCTAATTCTACATTATATAAAACAAATTTTGCACTCATTAATTTCTCGTATAATTTAGGCTACTGTTTTGCATTTAGAATTTTCATGTAATGACCAATATTATTATTAATCATTACGCGCAAACATGTTCTTACATGAAAAGATTAAAGTCACATAAAGTTATCATCGCTGTACGATAGTTGAAATCCTCGAGCATTCGCAATTAATAGGAATGAGAATAACATTCCAAGAGAAATTGGGTTGAGTGATAAGAATACTGCGCAAATTTACCGGCAAAATGAATCAGTCCTGCAATCCAACTAGATCTGACAACATATGATATGACTTGTCATCGACGATGTTCATTCACGATTTTCCACTTCACACGGAATTGTGCTATTTCAAGCAGTCATGGCTAACCTGCTACTTGATTTCAGAGAGGGGAGGAAGACACACATCAATTTTACACATGCTATACACGACCATTGAATCGCTCACAAATATTGTAAGCGATCTATCAATGTTCGGTGTCAAGTAATTAGGACACTGATGAATGTTGACAGTATTTACAATATGAAAGTTCGTCTGATTCCCTTAAGAGGTTCTTGAGAGAAATGTTGTAATAGTCGTTGTCTATGTGCTCACTCTAAGGTTGTTCCATGTGTACACGTATATGTAAGGCTGTCATATCCACTGTAATGGAATTCCTATTCATAAGTGAGGATGTGACAAAGCATGTAAATCGGTATTTAAAGTGAATTCCTGAAACATATATGGACGCCGCATTGTCTCCATCACAATCGTAGTCGTGTAATTACAAGTGATATTCAAGTCATTATGCAATCAGTTATCAGAAAAAAGTAAACACCATATAATCGAGACATTCGGTCAAAATTCGCTTACCGGAAGAAATATCCGCTGTATCACCTGGAACATTGTCATCTACAAAAGTCGGAACAAACAACACTCAGTTCGTGTTCATTGTTGTTATCGCGTGTTTACGTCGAAAGCATTCACTTTACAATCATTTCTGTAGTTAAGTAGCGGACAACTGGTGCATAATTACAATTCAATGCATCGAGAAAAAACTTAAAAATCGGTGGATTTGTCCGGTTCATAACTAAATTTGTGGTTATCCATAAAACATTTGAACTCTCATAACTTGCTGATCGTCGTCAGTTTCCCAACAGCATCTCCACACATTTAATCAATATGCGTAGTCTACGTTTGTTGGTTAACGAAGGCAAACACGCGTGAGTGTGAAGTGCACAATTTGTTGCGTTAGATGACCATTTACCAAAATACATAAATTTTGAAATAATTCACGATCTGTCCCGTTTATAAGGTTGTTGGATTGCACTTTCTCTGCCTACTGAAAAGTATACACACTGCACTCACTTCATACCATCTTGTTGTGAATACCAATACATCCGTTAATTTCAAGGTGTATTTTATTTTAATCTCATATAACATTATGTGTTGCTTCATAAACCTCATTACTCATTTTATGTCTGATGTTACGTAAGTCACAATACATCTCGCCATGGATTGACGGCATTTATGTAGCTGATTACTGATATATTTTAGTCCATGCAGACACATATGCATGTGTGCATTTGTTGTAACTGTATTTCATATGTTGAGTTCTGGTGAGGCGATGTTCACGAATCCTCGTCACTTTCTCCTCGCATATTCAATGCACATGTGTATCTGCTTATGACTGAACGTTTAGATAGATAGATCGATTTGTGCGTGTCGATTCTCTTCATACAAAGTTGGTCAAATAAACCATCATTACAGTAATAGGGAGAATTTCAGCTTACGATTCTCGATGACTTCATCTTCATTAGGATGATTGTCGAAGGCTATAAAATAATAAATAGAAACACGTTAGCTTCATCAAAATGTCAACAAGATTTATTCATGCTATCCGTGGTTGGTCACTACTAATCATTGTCCACAAAAGCTCTAGACATTGACAGTGAAATGCTGTTTCAATTTTCTAAAACAAATCGAAACGAATGTTCGTCTGCAGTGAGAGAGACAATGTGAGGTGTAAAACGACACTCACATTGACTTCTTATTCTAATCTGACTTACGAGTGACTTTCATTCACATTTGTTAGAAATCCTTTCACTCCCCTTAAATCAATAAGTGAACTTGATGCAAGCTTCCTCTATTATAAAGATTATTGGTGATTCCAGAAAGCGACTATCGAATGTGTGTCACATCCTTGTGATCACCCTACTTGAAAGAGTTCTTGATACCTGCAATATAATAATTGAATGATGCTACACAGCGTCTTTAAACATGACATAATTCGCTATGGAATTGTTGTGAATTGTATACACACAGTTTTTGTCACAACCTTCTCATATGCACTTAATTGGTATATCTTGTTTTTGTTACCAGAGATTTACTGGATATTTGGATTCTCTCTCACATCTGAATGATTTGTGATAAAAATCCTTGCACGTTTATCTAATTTTAAACCATAATTATTTGATAGGAAGAAGCGAAATATTTGTTGAGCCGTTATCAAATTTTTGAGTCAAGTTGAGCTCGTTGAAATCAAATAAAAGTATTGTCATAACTTACACATCTGGCCAAATGGTGAATTCACGTCATGTTCATTAACAACTAGATAATTGATAAACGTAGACCTGTTAGAACTTTTCGAATGTGAATAAGATTTATTTACTTATTTTCTGCATATCGATAATTAGTAGCAAATCTCATTTGACACTCGTCATCTGGTAGTTTAAATAGTCAACCGATTTTGTTCGAGCACAACACAGAGGCTTTGTTCTAGTAAGAGACTACTCAGAAGTGCACGCTTTTGACTCCAACGCGGATCCCACACGCGAATGTCACGTCGCTTATTGAGCTTATCAAGCATTCAACACTATCCAGTCTCAAATTGACTGATAAATTAATATTCGTCTTCAATAATAACGTGTGAGAGAAAGCAGAGTGTGTACATGTGCCATGTATAATTTTACGTCTTCAATCAATTCAGCCTTAATTACAGACAAAATAAAAAGGAAATGAAACCCAACTTACATTGACTGGAATTGCGCATGCAATTACCTGCGTAGTATTGCCCTAGAAAATACAATAGTTCATACTCATCCAATTCATCGTATTATGAACAACACCATTGAATTTGAAGACTTATGCTTACCGAGGCTTTTCGTTAATGAACATAGTTGTTCGATATCATATTCTGAAAAATTGTCGGTGAATAGTGATTAGAATTTTAATCGTAGAATAGGTGCAATATGCATGTTTTATTCAGATTGATTTACTGCGGTGAATCTCATCCGAGTCATTATCAAATCAGTTATTAGTAAAAAGTAAAATATATAGTTGAGACATCCTTTCGGTATTGGCTTACCGGAATAAATGTCCATTGTATCACGTGGATCATTGTTATCTACAAAAGTAGAAATAAAGACACTCACTGAGTGCTCATGTTTATTGATTGTCATCTTCGAAAGCTTATCATATTAAGGTTCATAAGCTTCGTGAATACAACTAAGTGTGCTGTCAACTCAGTGTTATACATTGACTTGTCGAGAAATTCTCTATTCTTATTTGAAGCCTGTAATGCGTACTGTTTGCCTATATATGACTACCAACGAACGTATCTGTGCACAAATCAAATTAAAAAGAAGGTCTTATCAACAAACCGTCTTTGTTTCCTTATGTATGCACTAAATCATTCTCAATATTGACAAAAAATGATAAATCTTGAATAGTGACTCAAATAATTTATCAGTGTAATACACTGGTCATTGCAAGCCATCTTTCATTATGCCGACTATCTTATTCGATAAACAACGGAATGCGTAATGTTCTCATACAAAAACCAATGCAAATCTGATTTTGATAGAATTGATTGGTTTAGTTTTAAGAGCATTGTCAGATACAAGATAAATTATATAAGTTATCAGGTCCTGTGTCTCCAACTTTCACCTACTCAAACTAATAACAACGTGATAGAGATTAGCGTTCAATCACTGGTAGAGATCAATTACATTTCACACATGTGACTAAATGGTCGCAGACATGTTGACCAAACGACGTTTATTTTCAAAATGGTCAGTGTAAACGTTCCTGTGTCAAGAAATCAATATTTCCAAGAATCAGAATTTATTCTTCTTAACAAACCAACATTCTGAAATCAACTTACTGATTTCGTTATATTCTCTGTCTCCTTCATCATCTTCAGCATCTGAAAAGATCATTGGTAAAATGTACTAGATCAGTCACAGTCTGAAGACTTCTGCATATCTTGTAGAATTTAATATCACTTGATTGAGTGGTCTTAGACATCATATCGTTCGATATGTAGTTGTACTCAGAACATATTCCTACAGTAAAATTTCGTTGTTCATGACATGAGTGTCAACTTATGTTTATTCAATTTGTACAAATATGCTTCAGCAGATATTTTCACATCTACCTATTATCATATATTCGTTTCTATTTGAATTATTTGGAAGAAATCAGGAAATGAGTAACTGTGGAATCTTCATACACGCCTTACATTAACTCGACTTTCAATACAGAATGAATAGATGGAACATGAAATCCTACTCAGGTTGATCACAGTTGATCGATACTACATTAAAGATAGTTATAGCTGACTGAAAATTACAATGAGAAAACTTGTCACATTTGCAAAATTATCAATGATGTCATTCATCGAAGAGAATAATACTTACGGAATTCATCTATTTCTGCGTTTGTGTCACTTTCATCAACAGCTAAATCAATCACAGACAGAGGATTGTGTAAATGATTACAATGTAAATGTAGTTGACTCTCAAAATTGTTACAAACTGATATTTTGTTGTGAATTTCATCAGAAACCAATCGTTGAAATAAAACGCATTTAACATTATTCTGAATAGCAAGTTTAGTGGTAATGATGGACGTGAAGACTACATTCGTTCGACTGATGTAATTAAATAATGAGAAACAAACATTCAAATGCTTTGTATTTTGAAGCTGTACTGCCTGTTCTTCTTTTCGCCTGGAATTACGACGGTGGAAATTAATCAACGTTAGTCTTCCCATGTCATACGAATTCAACAGATCAGAATATCAAAAGAACTCACAAACTTGAACTTACGTCTGTCGAAATGGCCTTTACGATAAGCATGAATGTCTAAAATATAAATAAAACGATATCGTCTCAGATCATCACACTGAAACTTTATGCAATCACTTCCCCCGATAATATGTTATAAATTAAGATTAATTGAGTAATATGAAATCAATTCATTTCACTTTCTTCGTTGTAATTCACTTATTTACACACCGATTTGTACAAATAATAAAAACACATAAGTTGTGGGTATTTTTGTGTCATGTGTGAGTGTCTTTTGGCTCACTGGTAGAAACCTAAGTTAAAAATGACAATGATGATCATAATGATAAAATGGCTGAAAACGGTATTATGAATGTGTAAAGTAATACAAATTGGTACTCTCCTCCACGAAACAGACATCGTTTGGATCTTATGGTGTATGTGCAATTGTAATAAATCAGATTTTTTTATACAGATGGGAAAGTACAAATTTGAACTGGAGTACACAAAGCAAAACAAGTCTACTTCATTTTACAATGTTTTTCATCGTCATATGTTAGAAACTAAGAATTAACCTGTCAATAGACGAATCGAATGTGTTTCATTTAGTGGAACATCGTTGTCGACGATGATACTTGGGCTCCTGTATACAACCATATTTGTAATGAAGTTTTACACAGACAAATCTTCAATAAAACAAATGGATATTATGCCACTTTGTAAAATTTTCACAAGTTGTACATTGATTTCAAATGTAATAAAAAGTCATCATTTATGAAAAGAAAATGTAGGGGAAGACTAGTGTGAAATAGTATTAAATGAAGCGTTAGCTGGTAAATTATGATAATGTTTGATAAATTTGAGGCGGCCTAACCAAAACATGGCATCAGTCCTTGAAGTCACGAACTTCCAGATTGAACTGTGTTGGTAGATGCAGAATGCTGGGTCGAGGTCCGCGCGACTATCCTAACAAGTGCTTGGAGACTATAAGTGACATGAATTAGAATAGATTGCAATAGCGTAGATGTTTACATACTTTATCTTCCCTTAAGCCGTGAGATTACAATCGCTTTACGCCCTTCTTTTATGTATTACTAACAATGAGGTGAATTACTATGAATTTGATGTTCAAATTGTTGTGCTAACGAGGTCTGACAACTTGGACCGATGATGACTGACTAAAGAAAAATTTAAATAGTTACTAAGATCTTGATAAGCATGAGATGACATATATCACTTTCAAATAAACAATTACAATCAACAAGAACCTTTCGATGAACATACACCTCTTTCAAAATATTTATTTTATCCATCATTATTTTGCTACTTATATTTATTGATCGTTTAATGGGCTTACTTAAGGGTGTTATACGCTTCATTTGTGTTTTGGACTACTGTCTGTGAATATTTCAACTACAAATACGGTAGCACTTCGTTAATATGAAACGTCTCTCCATTGAATTACCTTAATCAAAGTTAAATTCATTCGGCTATTAACTACCGAGTGAGGTAGACTGCCAATTCTGCACACAGTTTATATTTTTGAACGTGGGTAGAATTTCTTCATTCTTGTATTCCTAAATACTAATGGTAAGCGATAATGTTATGATATTCCAATACACTATTTCTTAAGACAACTGCATGTGACATAGACATTCGAACTAGCAATCCGAAACGCCAATGTGTATCGTTTTAACCGAACCAATTCCTAGGACATTTAGAGGCTTCAAGATTTATCAAAACGCGGTATTTTGTATTATTACGTTTAAACATCATATGATTTCGTGTTGATATTTCGACAATACATTGAACGTTTCCCTCATTTGTTAAATTGTGCATATCTTTCAAATGTCCCCACTATGTGAGGATAGTTTCATAACGCTTGTTTGCTGACCACCTATACCAATACATAACTTTTTTGTGAGTTGGTTGAAGATTAGATGATAGATAATCTTACATCACCTGAGTTTCACACAAGTTAGCACTGGTTTGACAGAAGTAAATGTAGTCTACAGAGAACTACTGATCAATGGTGAATTCGACCCAGCACTACACTACATCAATATTTAATCAGTTACTTGTATTTGACAAAAAATATTTAACCATGAAGTTACATACATTAACAAACAACACGTACCGGTAATACTGGCAGTAACCAAAATGGCTAAAAGCAAATACAAAAGATTCGCATTCATTTTAATCGGTCTGTGTCGTTCTGTAACGTTGAAATTCCGTGTGTGTATATATACCTTTTACTCTGGCTAAATGGAATGTAAAATTCACCTAAACAAAAAGCAATTCGTTGAATACTTCTGAATGTGTGTGTATATGGTGTGTGTGTGTGTATATATGTCTCTGTCTCAATAAGAGTAAGTCCACGTGTAAATGTGGATAATTTTTAATTGATCACAGAAAACATTTCTTCTAACGCATCAAAACTCATAGTTGAATTACATACCAATATTACATGCCAATTGCATGCCAAATATAATTTTTACCATCGACGTATTTTGAATTTAACTTGTACTGAGAACGGTTTTGTCATCATATTATACTAGATTTTGATTCCTACTAGTAATTATATAGGATGAAGGTGGATCATCCAGTTTCTCTTCTTTGATTAGCCCTATCAGAGAACAAGCTATGGATTGCGTTTTGTTATTTGTCCATATCCGTAAAGCTTAGGCGATGAAAATGGTGAATAATTTGAGCAAGATATTATTAATCATAGTCTGATATCAACTGAATGATCAATAAAGAAAATGAAACGATTGAAGTTTTTTATTTTCAACCGGAAGGGAATTTTTATGTGACAAGGCTTAGCCATCTTGTTGATAGACAACGCACAGTATTCATTACTACATCACTGATGAGTATCGGTTTACACTGATAATTCAGTGTAACTTATTTAAATGTGAAATAATCCTTGTAAAACTAATGTGTTTCTATTAAAAAATAAGGTTGAACTTCATTTTTATACTGATAAGACCGTATTTTGTGAGAACCACAAGAAAAAAGGTTTCTACAAAGAAACTCCCTGTACCCAGTAATGAATATAACATCGATTAAGATATCAATCATGTTACAATAAAAATAGTTTAACCATGCCCAACAATTTGTTATAATGATTACTCTAATAAACGACAGCATCAAAGGGCTTATATTTTTGACTATACTAACATTGAGCACATATGAACCAACAATCAACAGAAATTAGGAAATCCAAGTTAGACGATTTGTATTTCAAATGTAAATCATTGAGTCAACAAATCAAAGTCTGGAACATCAAACACCACTATGAACACATGATGTAGCTATTTCTTCAGAAATCGTATCTAAATAAGCATCGTAATCAATTCCGTTTAAGACAAATACTGCTTATAAGGTTCTCCATTCTTCAATTTTTGCTTTAACATTATACAATTTAGTCATAATACATCAATATAATGTTTATAATTTCAGGTTTCAATATAAACAACACACAAATCTAATTAGCTTATCCAGTAAACAAATATTATTAACGTTCTTCAAGGACCATGAAATAAGGCCACAGCAATCTGAACATATAAAGTCGGTGTAAAATACTCTACAGTTTGAAGCAAATGTGCCTACCAGTGAGTCTAGAATTTGTAATCGAAACTCGAATCCACACATTTCAATTTAAACCTTCCTAAAAAGATCAACTTTTAAATTCGATTTTCAATGTCCACCACAATGCAACTTTACGGCAAGTACATGTGTGAATATGTACATATTGAGTCATTCATACACACACTGAAACAAATGCTTAGAATGATGGTCAAAGCAGATCGAGAATATCATCAACGAGGAGATATAAGTGTTTACTGTCAATTCCAAGTTATTTATTTTCCTGAAAATGTTTCTCAACACTGCTTTTTGTAAGTAAATTGCATGAGTCACACTGAAATCAATTGTATAGGCTGCACATGACAAACCCACTGATGAAAACATAAGCATTCTCAATTAGTAGTTATAATTACTCTGTTTTCAGTTGAGTTATGATCATTTCATATTTGATGACTTAGTTTAATTCCTGATCACCAGATTAGAGTATATACCACTAGCACTGTCGATTCAGTACCATCTGAGAGGTTCAGACCTGACGGTTGGTAATGCTTTTGTCCTCGTGCATTCTCCAGCCCGTTCTACAAACACGTAGTGATGTTTTTGTAATAAGGCGTTCTTTTCGTCATTCTTCATCGGGTTCTTGGTTCTAATCCGGATGTGAATTTTTAATCGAATAGTCTGATCATTTCAGTGTTTCCACCAGAAATAACCACAATAAATCGAGTCAAGGATAGTCTGTAATGTATAATTTTGTGTTCGTAGTTGTATTTCCTTTGCAAACAATGCAGCATGCTTCTACGATCGATGTTCATTTTTCTACCACAAGCTTTGTGTGCTAATTTAGATGTTGGGCAAACTAGAGGTCTTTAAATATTCTTCTTAGTTTTTGGGCTGACAAGAGCTATGTAAATTGCTGTATCAGGTTGAAGACAAATACTTCTTACGAAGTTGTTCATTGTTTAATTCTGCCATAACAACATAAAATTCAATAATTATACAATAATTTAATTAACAATAAACAACCGTTTATAAAACCTCTTCAGTCATTTTAAAAATGAATTGACCTTTAACATTCTAAGCGATCGGATTATCCATTAAAATTTATTACTGTGTAGGATTTGTTGTGATAATTTGTTTGGAAACTTTCTTTTTTCATCTGTGTATCTGTAGTCCTATACCAGTGTATTCATATAATCACGTTTTCTGACGCTAATGAGTTTAAACTGGGATTAATTAAACATTTAGAGAATACGGTATGCCATTAAAACAACGTATGTCAAAGTATGAAATAACAAAATATGTGTCGTATTTAATATGATTTAAGTTCATAATAAATAAAAACACTGTTTTACAATCTTGTGTAAACAAACAAATGTGAGGTAACTAATGATCAGTTCTAAGATTACCTTGAATATTGGAATGAATTGAAGGAAGTTAGTGTTGGCCAAGTGTGGAATACACTTTCACAAATTCATTACATGAATAATAAATAAATATACAATGACTAGACAGATCTTCTAATCCTTCTCATGCATCAATCCGCCGTTGTGTATGCGCACACAACTTTGCACATAACGCAAACTGGGGAACTCCTCAAAGTATACAAAACACACTGCCTATACATGTATTCTTCCCTCAAACCACTTGTCTATGTGGTGATCGTGTTCTCGATGTGTGTTGATTTGTGTAAGGAACATAATGTCAATCTTGCAGCTATCGTTTGTTTACCTAGAAGTGATGTCATGTAACAACCGTTTGCCATAAATCATCATCAAGTGATAGTGCTTTGTTCAACCGGTGACTATTCGTCAATAAATCAAAGTGATTTTGGAATACGGAACAGTTTTATATAATTGATTCACAGTATGATCAACATTCGGATTGTTATGAATTCAGCTGAGTTGTTTTTATCATTAGTAATAATAATATTAATAATAATTCGTCAGTTCACTCTCACAACATATGTATTATATTATACAACTCACTTACTTACTTACTTACTTACTTACTTACTTACTTACTTACTTACTTACTTACTTACTTACTTACTTACTTACTTACTTACTTCTGTCATCCCTCATGGAGGAGCATATACTGCTCACCAGTATTCTCCATCCAACTCTGTCCTGGTCAATCCTTCCCAGTTCTCTCCACTTGCTATTCATCCAATTCATGTCTGAATTCCGACGATATAGTTTGAAAATTTATCACTCATATTTTCCTAAATTTTTAATCTGATCGAACTCTCCACAATATCCATCTCAACTTTCGTCAAATATTTAAAACTTCAAAACAACTTATATACATGGAGTCCTTCAAGCCACTGTTTTCGTGTTGTGTCACATATACTACTTATGAATATACATAGTACTTTAAAGAGAACAAATCAAATCTGTGTTAGTGAACATTTTCGACACCTCAACATTGAGATCTACCTGTTCATTCATTTGAGGTTGATGGGGAGATAAGCGGACACGCGTTATTACCCTTATACTAGGAAAGTGATTGAATGAGTTGGAGATGAATCGTGACCCGTTGTCGGTCATCAAGGTCTGTGGAACTGCCAATCAGCCAATCAATGTCGTTTTTGCGGCTGTAAGGTTCGGCAAATTATTTACTTCCATCCAATTTCCAAATGCATTCTCAATGAATAGAAACATCTTCACATGTACTGAACCAGTAAAACCTGAATGGAGTCTAGTGTCTAGCAAACGCAGGCCACTGCTGTGGTTCGCATTTCTGCAAGTGTTGAGCAACATGATGAACAATTACAAAATATGCTTTCGATATTTATATCCACTAGGTACCAATTAGCGTAATTTCAAGCCAACGAGTTCATATTATTGACTCCAGAGTAGCCGCTGTGATATTATTGAGAACCTTTTCGCGCAGGCCGTAATTGAAGCAAACATTTCAACCAAAAAACAAGCACTTCACTAGCTTTTCAATCAATATTTCATGTATGTTTGAAGGCCATTGCAGCTAGGAAATTACAGGAATAATCCGCTGCATGAGAAGAAAGTATTCAGTGACTAGTTTTGCCAATTGCTCCTCTGCCGGAATTCACATGGTGTACAACATGTTCTAGCAGTCAGGAATTGTGATGCCGATATAGACAGTATTTCAAACGTATGTGACAACGTATATGCGAGAATTAAGCGAAATAGTTTTCAATTACATAACACGACAATAGGCGACGAGAGATATATATTCCATGACACAGGTTGACGGAGTTGACGTAGAACCACAAGAAAGGAAGATTGTGAAGGAGTAGGGCACTAGTCAGGAGACGCTTAATTGATTTGATATGTTAGTATCATCAAACGCATGAAAATTGAACTATAAAGTGTAGGCCTCCTTGTAAATTCAAAATAATATAACAACAAAAATTATCACATCGGTTTTCTGTATCTGGTTTCTCAGGAATCGTAACGCTAGGAAACAGTTGTTTGCTTTACGTACAGGACCGAGTAAAAGATTCACAATTCTCGGTAATTACAGGAGCAGAAATCAGACTCGTATCTCCCAAAACTGAAAGCTGAATGCAGTAAATCATTCAGATATAAAACGCATGAATAACGAAAATGGATGTTGAATTTCGGCCTGA